CCGGGACGGACGGACGAGGGAGCGCTGTCATCATGTCGGTGAGGAGGAGAGAAGCCGCCCCGAGGAGGTCCAGGAGTCAGGAGTCCCTCCAGGAGTTGAGTGCCTGACTCAATGGCTTCATTTCCACTCGCTCCCACGCAATTTTCACTAACAAATTGCGAGGGGGCGAGTGGAGATTTGAGCCATGATCAAAAGCATTGTTCATGGCAGGCTATGCAACCATGGCTTCCAATTATGCCAATTACTAGATCCCAAACTGAAGAATCTGCTGCAGGCACTAGTCTTTTTATCCCATCCTTTTTCCCAGCAGAGCAGAACGAGTTCATTGACAATTCAAAGCCAGGGAATAGAAGTTTCCATTGACAAGAATAAAAAAGGCTCTAAAATATTAGATGCCCGCTAGTTTTGGTTTTTCGCTGCAATGACTTGCAGGGATAGTCCAGCCCTGTTTTCACACCACATAGTGTAGATATAAAAGATGTTGCAAACTCAAATTACCAGAGCCAGCAAGCAGAGGTCTAATTCTTAGGAAAATAAAAACTACCTTCCTTAGGAGCTGGAAAAATGAATACATGTAAAGCTAAAAATTTTAACAGTATTTGAAATTTAAAAAAAATCGATGACAGTCTCTTTCGAAGAAGGACTAACATGGGCAAAAAGTCATATTATAAAAAAAGCATTATAATAGCGCATTTAGCACAACCATCAACTGGTTAGTGTCCATGACTATCACAGGTTTTACACATTCATGTGATCATTGAGTGTATTCAAAACTGCACAAATGGTTCCATGCTGTAAATTGTAGGGGCAAGCGCTTTTAATATTTGTTGGTTTCACATAAAAGTGATGGATACAGACAAGATCTCCATGACATTCTAGAAAAGCTAGGAAAGCAAGGTATTTTAGCATCATCTTGTAGTTAGTGCATTAGGACTCTTACCTGTCGAGGTTGTGATTGTGTATTCATTTGTGGGGTCTGTGGCGGCCCAAACACCACAGGGGCCGTAGGTGCACTGGGGAATGACTGAGAAGACAAAGCAAGAGATATGAAGGAAAAGTTAAAGGCTAAAGCTGGTCATACACTAGTAGATTTCCACACAGATCTTTCTTTACCACCCGATGCCATCAGACACTTAACGAATGTCAAAATACATTGTTTTATTTAACATTGGATTTTGGAATGAATGGAGCTTCCCGAATGAAAACCCACACTCTATTAGAATTTCGCTTATGCCATCTTGCTACTTCAAATTGTTTTTGAAATCGTTTCGACTCCATCAACTAATAGAAAGTAGAAAGAAAGATCTTTTGTCCGAAAGTTCCTTCAGAAATCTACTAGTGTAGGGCCAGCTTAAGTTTACATTTGGGTTCATGTTTCATGTTATGCCCATGTTCACAGTATAAGATGAAAAATGGTCACAACTCAACCACCTCACCTACCTGAATTACAGGGTTCCTCTCCCCTGAAGGTTACTGCTTTTTACTGAATTTGGCTTGGCTTTGTGTGGGTTCACCCACACAGCCACAATATCCATTTCATTTACAGATCCTTTGACAGGATCCGTGACAGGAGAAACTACAAGTACCATCTGCAGTCGCAGCAGATGGACTTGCAGTCCTCAAAAGGAATAAGTGCAGTGATGTGACCACACTTGGGAGTCCATTTATGTTAGTGAATGCCCATACCTCAGTAGCGACAGGGATGAAGAAAGAATCTGCAAGAGTCAGAGAATTGCATCCATAATCTACTGATTTCAGTTGCAATACGTTACTGGCTCGAATGCGCAAAAAATAAAATTAATTTTTCCTACTCTGAAGAAGTTTGAATTTATTATTTCTAGGGATGCACAGATACCGTTATTTGTATGGAGTACCAATATTTTGCGGTCGGTACTCGCTGATACAGAGTACCGATACTTTCACTGACATGGAGACGGCTTCCTGGGCAATCAGGAAGCTGGGCTGCGGGTAATGACACGCCGTGCAGCTTCCTGATTTCCCAGGAAGCCTGCTCAATGCCAATTGACTAGGAAGCTGGTTTCACAGCAAATCATCATGGGAGCTGCCTCTCACTGAAAGTTCTGGTAACGGGGAAGGTAATCGGAGCATTTTGGCGAGTACGAATACTCAGTATCGATTCCAATACTAGTATCGGTGTATCCCCAATTAATTCTTTCAAAAAAAGTGGAATTTACCTTTAGCAAACCACCTAAACATCTGCAGTCAAAGTATCACAGCCATGAAAGAGCCATCAACCAATAAATGACAAGCCCCTTATTCTGACGGTGTCCAAACGCTGCCTAAAATAAATCAATTTGAAGTGTCTACCAGTCAGTCATTCACCAAGGGCGGTCTCACAGTACTACAGCTCTACTAAAGGAACAAAAAGGGATAGCATTGACATGTTCCAGTTCCCCAAAACTTAGCAATAGGTCCACTTCATATTCATCAAGCCCCCTTGAGGACACAATACTGTCTACGCCACCCAAAAAAAATGTCCTTTGCATAAAATGGACCCTCTGATAATTAATGCCGTCAGGGCAAAGGCTTTCCCTAATTTCCTGACTTGTCACCAGAATTGAAGAGTGAAAAAAAACCTCCACAAAAAATAAAACAAAATTGAAGTAAAGTTTGGAAGTATTAAACTGGTATATATACCTGTTGGAGTCCAGGGGAAGGGGCTGTAGGGGGTCCTCCTATAGGCTGAGTAGCTTTGCTCATCTCATGTGATGCTGCATAGGGTCCCCCGTAAGGTCTATAAAGACAAAATACATATATTTAAAACCAAACACTGAAGCACCCAGTTGTGTTAAAACTAACATGAAATTCCACTACCACCACCCTAGGACTGTTTAAAGGCATTGATGTACTTAGGGAAAACTTCCAAGTTTAAGCCCCCAATCTTATTTTTGCATTCCACATGGGTGTTAGTACACTGCAGACTCTGTAGAACTACAAGTCCCAGTTTGCATGTTATGTAGTTACAGTTAAGCTATATATCTATATGGTGGTAGAGAGGTTAGGAAAAACGATTTTCCTGACCTCCAGTATTCTCAGACAACCCAGAGACAGAAGAAATGGCCTTTGTTTTGATGGGCCTACTGCACCAATGGACCTTGAGTCAGCTCTTCCTTTTGCAAATAAGGTTGATGCAACTATTTAGTGCTTGAGGTGTCTGGCTCACAAAATGCTTCAGAATAGAAATACAAATTTGGCTTTTCCTCCTCCACCACGCTAATGGCCAGAGGGGTAGCCCCATCATGTGATGGACAAAAACAGCCATGCATAATGTGGGAGAAGATAGGGCCCTGTTGGACCTGAGAGTGTGGTACATTTTTTAATTGCGACAGTCTGTAATGCCAGTTTTTGTTTCGCTACCTGTGCTACAGCGTTGGAGATTTCAAAGAGACTCAAAGAATAAGCCAAGCTAAACTAAATGGAAACACAGGACATCACACACAATCAGCAAAGAGCAACATGAAACATAGCTTTATCACTCATTAGCGGTGTTAAGAATAATTGATATAAAAACTTTTGTGCCATTTGCAGTCATGTGACTGCTAATCTTTGGCTTCACATCCCTTCTCTCTCATCTGCAGCAGGCAAAGCTTCTACCTCCGAGCACGGACATTATGACTAGAAGTGATGTCGTCACCTCTCAGTCCACTTCCCTCGAGTCTGTCCTGCACTTCTAACAGATGGCGGACATTTGCAATGGAGGACGTGCCTGAGGGTATTGAATAATAAAGAGGTGGTACTACTTCAGAGTCCACGACACCAATATAGGGATCAGCCATTTCAATAGCTGCTGATCCCCAGCACAGAGAGTAAGAGGATATTCTGGGGCAACAGCAGGATCAAACTAAAATAAATATGTTCTTTAGGGATATGCAAAAAACAACATATTGTCAATGATCAAAAGTAAGGGAAACCTTGCAAAGAATGCCTGGAGAGACACTTTAGGGGAAAGTACCAAGATGCATGTGATGTAATGCTGGCGCACCCGGAATATAAAGGTTAAAAACAGGGACATTACGCACACAGTGGGATTACAATAGGAGGTCTAAATTTTGTCCTGACATTATCTGTGACAATCATCCATACCACCAAAAAAGTGTGCAATAATCAAGTACTAAAACAAAAAATGATCCAAAAGTACACAAGACGGGTACAATGTAATCCATCAAGTTCACAAACACTTCTGGCCAAGTGGGGCACTGGGATTTTATTTGAAACTTCTTGCAGTTCCATAAGCTGCTCAATAATTATACCATTAAAAGAAAGGCAGTACATCTGTTACATATGCACATTTCCCCATGTTTTATCCCTTCAAGCACCGAATACCCCACTGATCCTCCAGGAAACCCAGGAGCTCCTAACATCCTGTAGAGAGCAGACAACAGCCTCTACTGAAATCCTAAGCAGCGTTGTCACCCCAGCCAGAGATACTCCCTGATGTACACTACAGAACCCCCTCTTTATCGCTATATTCCTCCATGCTCACATTAATTCTAGGAGCAGAGCACTTTGAACAAATTTTTTTTAAAAAGCAGATTTTTCCAATACATGCAAATGTTCCCATGTTTGGTATCTTTAAAATTGCAAAGTACAGAAATATATTAGTTACTGTGCCCAAACCCCCGAGTACTCCCAACTTCCTGCTTAAGCTGACAATATGGAGCCTCTGCTACACTAAAATGCCAAGCAGTGTTGTCAGCCATGCTTGGACCGTAAAATACCTCACCTATTATATCCATAACATATGGGGGAGGTGTTCTGTAGTCTAAAGGTGCCCATACACCTTACGATTATCATACGATAATCGTGTGCAACCGCCAGTCCCGTACAATCATACGACTTGTCTTTCCTGCATGTTCGAAAACTTCAGTCGATTGCACGATTTTTGCAAGGTTGGTGGCGTTCCCGTACGTCAAAAGTGGTATGATAACACTGCTCATGCGCAAAAGAAATTATGTGCGGTCGATTACCGCAATTCGTCCAGGTGTTTTTTTTTAAAGTACCGCTGATTGAACCTTGCGATAATCGGGGCAGGATGGGGCCGCCGTACGTCAATAGTGCGACGGTTCGATCATCAGATGAAACGCTTAGTCCGATGATCGCAAGGTGTATGGCCACCTTAAGAAAGAACAGAACTGGCTTATAACCTTTCCTGGATTTCAGTTAAGCAGCAGCTGTGCGTTACCAGCTCATTACAAGTAGTTAAGAGTTAACTGGGTTTCTGAGGAGCAATACGTTTTATATGTGCTAGCTGCATTTTTAAACAGACAAAACCTGAGGGAAATGTGCATGTATTGCAGACATGTACTAAACAGGCTTAACTTTATTTGTTGCCCTGACAAACTGTTTACTAGCCAATAATATCAGTGCCAGCATAGCGTATGGATACATATCGTATTTTGCGGTCCATAAGACGCACCGGACCATAGGACGCAGGGAGGTCCGGCGCGCCTTATGGAGCACTCGACAGACTGTAGCTTCTGTCACAGCTTCTATGACAGAAGCTGCAGTTAGTGACCGCTGAGACAGGTGGCGCTGTGATTACAGTACATAGAGCAGTCTATTCTTCGTCTGCTCTATGGTTATCTCGATCGTCGCTGCTCGGTTTTAATGCGAGTGATCTCATTAGATCACTCGTATTAAACGAGCAGTGGCTCCTGCTGCTGAACTCGATCGCCGCCGTCGCTGCTCGGCTTTAATACGAGTGATCTTGTTAGATCACTCGTATTAAACGAGCAGTGGCTCCTACTACTCGCCCGAAACTGCATGTCTCGGGCGTCGGGATTCGCTCCATAAGACGCAGGCACTTTTCCCCCCTCCTTTTGGGGGGGAAAAAAAGTGCGTCTTATGGAGCGAAAAATACGGTACATGTAATTACCAGCAAAGCTGGTTGTTGCCTTGACTCCAGGAGCCTGGACCTTGCCTCTAAGGGGAGAACCTACATGCGCAGGAAATGACTTCCCACCATGAATTTT